CGGAGACCGCAACCCACGGCGCGGCCGGACGCGAGGGGCGGGGGACAGTGGCGGGACCACACGGCCGCCTACGGTGTCCCCTGCGGGGAAGCAAACCAAAGGCGGGAGCCCGCTCCTAACCTGGTGCCCCACCCTGGCCCAGGCGACGCCCCCTCTCAGCTTGGTGGACCTAGGTTGTGTATCGACTGGGTGCACATCCTACGGCCAGCGGTGTGAAACTGGGGGTGGGAGTCCAGCCGTCGGGGAGTCAAATAGGGGGTTTTGCTTGGAAACACTAAAACCAGCAACATGAGGTTGCAAAGGGACAGGCCAATGCGCAAAGAACAGCAGAAACAGCGACGTCCATAGGATACCTACCGGGGAACTTGGCAGACTGTGTCAAAGAGGAGCTGTGAAGACCTTCGTGGCACGGGCTTGCTAAGCGTGCCGAAGCAATTCAGAGCCGGCAACTGGCATGCAGGAACTGCAAAATAACCGTGCTCTCACCTTCCTCACAGATTAAACAGGGCAGAGACTGCAGAGAAGTGAACATGGGTTGTGTATTTCAACAGGCCATCCAGGAAAGCTAAGTGGATTAGGAGACATTCGAACGAAACAAGAAAAGTGGGTCAAAAAGTCACTGCCACAAACACCAGACTGTAGGATTTGGTTGCAATGTATTCTAGAAAATCAATAAGGATAGAAATAAAACAATGAAAAATAAAAGGTTTTGAAATTCTCATTATTCCAATCACATTAATTCAATAGATACCATTTCTTTTTCTTTTTAAAGTTTGCTATAGGGCACATGTGCTCACTGGCGAGACACAGAGAGGGAAAGTGAGCAAGCACCCTCACCCCAGGAGGTATGGCCATCCTGCCATCTCTTCTCTCTCATTCTCTTCTCAGGAGTCTGGACACATGCACCTGGCCTGTTTTTCGAGCTGCTGGGTTGGGGACTGGAACCATGTGGGATACAGCCTCCTTTACCGCCATACTACCTGGCTGGCCCCAATAGGTACCATTTTATTGGTACTTATGTGCCTGACATATGGGAGTTATTAGATATAATTCTAAGTTTTCTGCTTGCATTATTTAATTTAAATGCATAGCAGTCAGATGAGCTGTTCTTAGCCCCGTATTATGAATGAGGACATGGAAGTTCAGAGGAGACAAGCTGCCTGCTTGTGGCCGAGGAGCAGGGCAGCAGTGGCTGGAGTCTGATCCAGACTCCATTCTTGCAGGTACACTGGCCCCTGAGCAGGACTCCCCAGCCAGCACAGCCTGGGCTTTGGTTGCTTTTCACAGATTCATCCACATTCTCTGGGGCAGTTCTGTGAACATAAATTCAGGATTGGAAGGGACTCAAGAGAGTGCTTAGTCCAAACATTTGATTACAGACAAGGAAACTGAGGCCCACAGAAGGACATTCAGGATGGCTCCACCAGGAGTGGAGTGGCACTTGTAACTCAGAAACAACATGGATGCCCCTCCCCACCCCACCCCTACTGACAATTTCTCATCAGCTGCTTTCTTACATTAGCATTCCAATCCTGTTTCTAAGATAGTGATGCCGCTTCTTCTTGAAAGCTTTGCAAGTGCTCTAACCTGCATTTTCCAGGGTTCAAGAACTAACCTTGAATTATTCTCACACCCCTTTCCCTCCTATCCCTTTTTGTCCTCTACCCCAGGTTTCTGGGGCAGTTTACTGGGGCAGATTACCTCTGCCATACCAGACAGAAGGTCTTCGTTCTTATGGGGCTTCAGAAAAGAAAAGCCCATAGGCTTCCAGTCACCTGTCCTAGTGGTTAATATTAAGCTTCTAGAGAAGTTTCGCCTTAAATATAATTTTTCTCTCTCCTTCCCTCTAAAGCAAATTCAACTTCTTTCCTCTTTTCTGGCCTAAGTGCTTCTGCTTATTATCCCACGTGCATGGTCTTGAAGAGCTGTTCAATTCACTTTCGATCTTCTTTTCTCCAAGTGAAAGAATCTCCACATCCCTCAAAGGTTCTAATTTATAACCGTTTATTAGCAAACCACTCTTCCTCTCGCTTCTTTACTTTCTTTCTTTCTTTCTTTTTTAAAGAGGTTTTTGCCTTAGGGCACATGTGCTCTCAGAGAGAGACAGACAGACACAGTGAGAGGGAAAGTGAGAAATCACCCCCCCTCAGGGGGAATGGCCACACGCAATTCCTTCTCCTCCATTCTCCTCCTGGAACCTTGGGCTTGCATGCACATATTCCTGGAGTGATTTTGAAGCCACTGGGTCTGGGACTCGAACTGCAGACAGCCATATGGGAGTCCAGTGACATAACTGCTACACCATCTGCGGCCCCATTCTTCTTATTTCTTTTAAAGTGGGACTCTTACCCTATTGAATACAGCTCTGGTACAGATCTGATCAGTGTCGGGTAAGCTTCACCCGCAGCCCTGCTGCAGCGTGGAATCAGGTGTGCTTCTGCAGCAGTGCTGCCTCGTTGGTTGAGACGGGGCTTCACAGAGACTAAGCCTCCTTTGCCAGGCTAATTTAGGTGCAGTGATCCGGCTGTGCACTGCAAGAAACAGAAGGGGGTAGCACGCATTGTCTTTTTTTTTTTTTTTTTTCCTGTGTCAGGTGCTTTCCACAATTAGTAAAATCTCCACAATAGCAATCTGCAAATGGCAATTACTAATCTTGTCTTACAAATCTACAGCTCCAAGCTCTAGAAGTAATATAACTTGCTTGTGGTCCTGAGGCTAGTCCTCCTGCTACAGCTTGAACCCAGAGCTCTGATATTCTTTTCTCAGGACACGATGGTGCTTCAAGATCTGACTCCTAAGTGTAGATCAGTATCAGTCCGATCTCCATCAGTGCAGGAGGAGGAGAGGTTGGAGGCATTCAGATCTCTACAGCAGCAGCCTGGAGCACCTTCCGTCCAACCTGGGGCCTTCGAGCCTTGGCCAGCTTTCGGCTGCCTGTGTCCTTGGCTGTTCAGGAGATGCAGCGTGGCTTTGAATCATGCCAGTCCCTTAAACCAACCAAACAAAGCTTGGCTCTTTCTTGGGGTCATAGCCAGGCTCTGCCAGTGGTACAGCTGGAGAACTGAGGTCTGCCACTCTGGAGCACCAACAGCGACAGAGCAGCAGTGATAGAGCCTCGTCAGGGCTTCTCAACGGAGTCTTGAGCCTTCGGTAAGATCGCTTTCTTCTCTCACCTTCAGATCTCCTCTGCCCTTAATCGGCTCTGTTTTGAAGAGAACAAACTGATTGCTTTGGATAATATGATCAATGTTTTGTTTACAAAAGGGAAAATTGGTGGGCTAACTGGTAGTGTGCTGGTTAAGGCAGTTGGATCCCACCTGGCCAACTGCATGGTTCAAGTCCTAGACCCGGCAACTTGAAAATCATATCAGGCCAAAAAAAAAAAAATCGTATCAGGCATGTGTGCACCCCAAAACCCAAGAGGAGAATGGAGGAGAAAGGACTGCAGCATGGCCATCCCCCCTGTGGGGTGCTTTTCCCCTTTGTCTCCTCTTTCTCTGTCTCTGTCTCTGGGGAGCATATGCGTCCTATAGCAAACTAAATTTTTGAGAATTATTTTATTTATTTTTACTTATTCTTTCATTTTATTTAAATTTGACCACAGACACACACACACAGAGATAAAGTGAGAAAGTAAGCTGTTGAGTTCAGGACTTGAACCATGGTCAGCCATGTGGGAGTGTCCAGTGCCTTAACCACCATGCCACTTACTGGTCCCTGTGAACTAAATTTTTTAAAAAGTGAAAATCGGAAAAATAGACTGGAAAGAAAGAAAGTACACCACAGAGCCTGATTACTTAAACAGCTGTCTAGTAGTCAATCTTAATTTCATACTTCAAGGGGCTAGATGGCAGCACAGCAGTAAAAAAAAAAAAAAAAATGACACTCTGCAAGGCTGGCCTATATGGGAAAGTGCTGGGTTCATGTCTGGAGACCCCCCTGGGTATGCTGGGCACATGCATGCATGCCCCTGCTCTGGGCTGGCAGAAGCTGGGGGGTGGGGCGCACAGCTTCAAGACCCTGTCGAGGGCACATCTTTCTCTGTTTCTCTCACCCGTGGAGGAAAGAAA